GCTAAAGGGGAAGCACTTATAGTAAAGTCATCTAACAAAGAGAAGAAATCCCAATCGCTTTTTCTCTTGTTGAAATGAAAATGGTGCTGTTGAAAACTAAATACAATGACCATGGTCATTGGCAAATTACTGGTTCACAATGAGGAAACAGGCAAGACCATACTCTCAGCTGATTCTGATTTAGATAAAAAGTTTCATCCAAAAATGAGTGTGGAAAGAAGATGAACTTCTTGAATCTATGACTTAAACACAATGGATGTGTTTTTTTTTGGAGGGGGGTAGTTTTGTTTTGGGGTACCAGGGATTGAAACTATAGGCACTTAACCAGGAGCAACATCCCCAGCCTGTTTTATTTTTAATTTTGAGACAGGCTCTCCCTATGTTGCTTACAACCTCACTAAGTTTCTGAGGTTGGCCTCAAATTTGCAGTCTTCCTGCCTCAGCCTCCTGAGCTGCTAGGATTACAAGAGTGCAGGAGGATCGAAAATTTGAGGCCAGTCTCAGCAACTCGTGGGGTGCTAAGAACCTTAGGGACATCCTGTCTCAAAAAACATTTTAAAGGGGGGGGGGGGGGGGGGGGGTGGGGGGAGTCTGGGGGAGGCCCCCCCCCCCCCCCCCCCCAAAAAAAAACAGCACAGCTTAAGAAAAAAGCCAGTTGACCATGAATCATTAAAAAAAAAAAAAAGAAATTTAATGTAAAGATATTAGCATGTTGTTCTCTGGTCTCTTTAATATAGAATCTCAGAGAAAGATTTTAAATCCAACACTTGTGTAATTTTCTGTTCAACTGTCTATCTTCACCTTAAAGAACCACAGCCGGGAAACAATCATAAGGAAAATTACTACTTAGCTAAGTCCCAAACTCAAACCTTCCCCTTCTCATCCCCAAATCTAGAAAAAATATTTTCTAAAAAAACATATTTTCTAAGATCCAGAACCATGATATAAATGAAAAAGCAAACTTGGATGGACAAGAAACTCTGAAGAGCCCCTGAACAAGAGAAAGCAGAAGAACAGAATTAAGGAAAACCATAAGGGCCCTAAGTGGACATGTGAGTATGTTCTATACAAAACAGGGTGGCTCTGGGCTGATCCAAAACTAGAGGGGAACAAAACCTCAGGACAATGCACGGATTACGTAGACCAAACCTCAGGGTGAGGGGGTAAGAAAAGAGTAGAAGCAGAATGAGAAATAACCTTTCTGAGTGGGTCCTAACCTCCCATCTTGGGCAGTGCATCCAGCAACAGCCATAGCTACTCCAGTATGGGAACCTTACAGAAGTGAAAAAGATAATGCTAGGTGCAGCTGTTAACACCTAGAGTCAGGGGGAGCCCCAGTGTGAGAAAGCCCATGTCAGTCATGAGCCAGAAATTGTAAAAAGTAAAAATCAGCAGTCAAAAGGGGAAAAAAAAATGCAAAAGTGGAAGACATAACTAAAGAGCAAAGTAGTGAGCAAACCAATTCTCTCATAATATAAACACAGAAGGACAGCAAATGAAAATTATTAAAGATTGAGAAGGTGGGTAAATGAACTTGATCGAATTATGTTCTGTGCATGTACAAATATGTCACAACCAACCCGGAATAATCATAATACATCAATAATTTTTTAAATTTTAAAAACAGAAAGGTTGAAAGAGATGAAGACAGAACACTTCTGTCTCCATCCAACAAAATGGATGTGTCCTGTCTCCATCCAGTGAAAATTCATTCAGAAAAATAAATGGAAAAAGTATGCAGAGCAAATCAATAAGAACATTTTTCTGGAACTAAAGACATGAAACTTTATATTGAAAGGGCACCCCCCCATGCCAAACAATTCTAAAAACACCTGGTACCTTGTTACATTAGGGTGAAGTTTAAGAATAACATGAATAAGGAGAAAATTCTCAAAGCTTCTAGGGGAAAAAGAGAAGCATAACTTACTTGGCAAGAAACAAGCATCCACTGACCTCAGCAACATTGTATACAAAAAGAATGTGGTAATCACCCTGACGGCAGGAGGCTGAAGCAGGAGGATCACAAGTTCAAAGCCAGCCTTGCAATTTAGCAAGAACTTGTATCACAATAAAAGATAAAAAAGGGCTGGGGATGTAGCTCAGTAGTAGAGCACCCATGGGTTCAATCTCAGTACTACACACACACACACACACACACACACACGTAAATATCTGCAAAGTTCTAAGAATTTTGTGTATAATTTATTTTAACTCAGCCATTTCCATTGAGAAGAAAAAGTACAGGCTGATTTTCCATCAGGCAAAAACTTGGAAGACATTTTTTTCTATTTCTCTGAAAGAAATACTAAAAGATATAAACCAGCAAATGGAAAAAAATCAGTCCAAGAGGAAGTCACAGGATACAAAAAAATCAATGACAATGACAGACAAAATTGGAAATCTTCAAGAAAATGGGGTACGAATCTAATAATAAAATCCCAAGCTGAGGGATGGGTTGGAAGAAGTATAGGAAAGTAAAGTTACTTTTCCAATCTTTTGGTCATTACCTCTAGACACCTGCAAAAAATATTTGTTGACACAGGTATTGTACATACTTTAGCTTTATATATATTTCAAAAAATACGAATACAATTTAAAACTTTCAAACAAGAAAAAAAAACACTCTCAATGAAAATAAAAGAAAAACACTATAAAAAATAAGTAAAGCCTATGAAGAAGCAATTCACCAAAGCATAATCACAATCTAGTGGATATATAAGATACTCAGTAGCAATCAGGGAAATACAAACTGGAAAGTAATGACAGCAACTTTTAAGAGACAAAATTAAGAAGTTTTCTGATACCAAGGCATAACTTGCTAGGGTGGCAATAAATGGATGTAGCCAACTTTTAATGTACACACCATGTAAACTAAAAAATCCTGTTTCCTACTACATACTCTAGAAAAATCTTTTTAATTGCACCTAAGTACAAAGAACGTGAATAAGGAGGCTTTTGGAAGCACTGTGATAGTAATGGAAAATAGCAAATCGCCCACTAAAATGGAATAATTAGTTTAATTCAGATATGTTCTACCATGAACATCATGCTGGAGTTCAAAAGGATATGATGGATCAATTACTTCCAACCTGACACGGTCATGGGGAAGAAAAAGATAAGCTTTGAGTGTAATATAGGAAATCATTTTCACAACAAAGTGGAACGTCATTATTATTTGTGCAATTATAAGTAAAAACACTTTGAAAGAAAAAAAGTAACTGGGAAAGAATAAAACAGTTTAAAAACACAAAAGGGGTAAGAAAATTAGTGTTAATTCGCCTGAAACATAATGTCACTCTTTGATAAACATCATCGACACTGAAATGCATTATGAATGTCCTCATGGATCAGTCAAACCTATGCCCTCATGATAGTGGATTAAAAATCTCACTCTCATGCATAAAATCCATGGAGAAATTTGTAGGAAAAAGAAATTTTAAAAGTATTGAAAACTGACAAATTGATTAATACTAATGGGTTCATGCCCTACATTTCTTCTACCCAAATCACAATGGTCCAACATGACACACACGGTGTGGTGTGCCACGGACATGCTAGTAAGACAACATGGCCAAAAATTAAAATTGAAAAAGAGAATTGTTTTCAGGCAAGGACAAAGCAGACATCTATTAAGAGTCAGCTTGAGAAATCAGAGCAGGAGTCAGATGCTTTCTCTCTTTTCCTCTCAGTGGTTGCTGGACCAGAGTGGTCACAACAGCCATGGGGAATTGGAGGCCAGCCAAAGGCCAGGTGACTCAACACTGAACTTCTTGTCCCTCTAGGCAATTTCTCTCAGTGGTTCAAATTCGTACCAGAACATAGAACAGTTACTTTCTTATCAATCAGGAAAAGAAATATATTAAAAATTGTTTTTTTTTAAAGTGATGACTAGCAAAGAAAACTGAGGAAATGTGGCAAGAGAACCAAGATTGATTTCCATTATGAAATCAAAGGGCTCTATTTGTGATAGAAAAATCTGTGGGAATGGTAGCACAGTCTTCTAACATCCTCCAAGGTAAGAAACAAACACTTTTGTTTATTTTCATTATGTTTCATTTAGAGTAAGTTAGCAGTTATATTTTTCTTAAATAAAAAATGGATCTCAAACAGGGTCCAAAAACCAAGAATAGGGTGTCTGTGGCTAAAACACAGGTTCCTGTGGACAAGAACCAGGTGTACCTGGCTTTCTGCTGTGCTACCAGCAGGTAGGCCAGATGAGACATAATGGTGAACTTGTTGACTGGTTGACTGGTTAAGATAAAAATGAAAGATTAACATGCCTGTGTGGGCATTGTAGAGGTATGTCGCAGAACAGCAAAATCCTCACCAGAACACTTTGATTTTCCTTCCTTGTAACACACCAGCTCTCACATAGAGCTGTGATTTTGCCATACGGTGCCCTTTTAAATTCTGGAGATAAAAATGCTGAGGGAAAGAGTGGGGACAACAGAAAAGCGGTAGATCCTGAACCCAGACATAGGGACAAGCAGGTGAAAGGGCAGACGTAGGGTGCCGCATCAAGAGACACAGACATCTGGCAGGAAGACAAGTTTAAAGGAATATACTGGATTGAATTGCACTGCTTGTACTTCTAGGACATTTCATCATCCTGAGATCCTGCCCTCTACAAGGCCTGGGTGCTAATCAAGTGTATATGTGACTATTGAAGAACCACACCATTAGATATTTTTGGGATGTATGTATGTACCGATGGACAGACAAACAAATGAACAAACAATGGAATAAACAGTATGCTTTTTTTCCTCTATGCACTTTAAAGTCAACCATTCAGAATTGATATTCCACTTGCAAAAGAATATTCAGTAAAGTTGCTCCCAAATGACTTCACACCGCACACAAATGTTGTCTGATTCACCGGAGACATCAACAGCACAGTATATAAAATCTGGATAGTGGTAATCCTCCCAGACTCTTTACCACACCAAGGCAATTAGAATAATTAATAGCAACTAGAACTCATTGATTTAAAAAGAAATTACCACAATTGGGTATCTGCAGGTTTGCCAGGGGAATATTCTTGCTGCTTTCATTTAGGCAGTACAAGTCCTGAGTTTCTGGACTGGATTTAGTCTCTTGAAGAGTCTTGATCCACATAATGTCACAGGAGCACGTAAATGGATTGCCCACCAGGATCCTACATGGAATAAAAATGAAACCCAATCAGGCTTCTTTTTTAGTTTTAGCTACACTAGTGTTTATGAAATGCTACAACATTATGAATTCTTTCTAGCCAGCAACATTTGGAATTCATACCCACTTTCATAGCATGACAATACTTATTATTCATTCATTTATCTAATAATTACTGAGCCGCTATTATTGTGAACATTATAGAGGCTAAAGAATGCAAGGCAATGCTAAACCTTGCAGGATAATGGGAAAACAAGATAAGGACAGAAATAGCTATAACAAACTATAGAAAAGAATGTCTCATAACAGGGAAAACATGGCACCATAATAAATTGATCATGGCTATTCTCTAATTATTAAGAGTGTAAGTGAAGATGCAAAAAATAAGTTTTCAGGAACACTAATATACTTATGTCTAACCAGACTAGAGACTAAAATGTTGTCATTTGCCAAACTCAAACTTCACCAGAGAGCAGCATAATTTTATCACAATTTTAAATGAGATTATAAGTAAAAATCTAAGACAAAGGTATAGCTCTCTTAGCTTTCTGCACGATGTAACCAAGGTCCATTTCATTCATCAAAGAAAGTTAAGAGATAAAAATTGGAAGGAAGCTCTAGACATCTTTCATAAACACACACACACAAACACACACACACACACACACACACACACTCACACACACACCAAGCTCAGAATTTCTAAGGGCCAGGGAACTGAGCTCCAGATAAAGCTTCTTAGCCTACTGTGGGAGGGTCTGCAAAGAAAATCATCAGTGTTTAGACCTCAGCCATGCTGTCTGGACTCCTGTAGCCTACAAGGGGTGAAGAAGGAAGTGGTCAAGAGGAAAATAAAAACCACAGGAAAAAAAATCTTTAAATGCTTATTTATAATACTCAGTGGCCTATTTAAGATGAATTCCATTTATGGTAATGAGCCTTTAAATGAAGCCATTTAAAATCGTTACATAGACTCTGCCTGGCATTAACCACAATACTTAAGATTTCCGTGAAGACAGGACCTGGGCTTTGCAACATCATTTACTCCTGTGGTTTTTCTGGTTGGGTTCTAAGAATCTCAGGGATCCCTGGAGAGTTTTCTGGGAGTTTCTTTGGGGGAAATGTGGTCATGGTAGACTGGCTTAATTTGTGTCTGCCTCATCGCTTCCAAGTATCCCTCAAACACCAAAACAGGATTTGACACTATAAGATACAGAATAAAATGCAGAAGAGACCCACAATCAGTTTAAACCCCAGTAATCCAAGATGTTTCCTAGAGTTCTGGGTAGATGAAAAACTAAAGTCTTTCTAAAAAGAGGGTGTAATTAAATCAGCAGAAGGGATAAAGAAGTGAAGGGATGCTTTAATTATAAATAGAGCGATGTTCATATGACCACACAACACTGGCAGACGGCCGGCTCCTTCCTCCAGCTCGCTGTGCAAATTCCTTTCACAATGATTTTTACAGCATGTTACACTGATCTGTTTAGGTTTCTATCTCTCCCCCTGGAGAACAGAATGCTTAACACAGAAACTTTTCTCCTTGTAGCCCCATGGCCTCGTCATTCTGATATGTAACAGGTACATAGTGAACACTTGTTGAATGAATTGATTAAATGTGCTGTAGGGAGAATATTGAGACATGAATTTGAAACCAAAACACTACTTTTTAATCCACTCACAAAATTTTATGTAGTAGTACTCAAAATGCTTTACCCTACTAGATCTTATATTCTCCTTTCATTTGCATGTCTAGACATCTTTCATAAACACACACACACACACAGACAAATATACCATGTTCTCACAAGCATGTGGAAGCTAAAGAAGTTAACCTCAAGTGCTCGGGAGTGATATTGGCAAAATCGTATTGTTATATTTTATGCATATACTAATATGTAACAATAAAACCCACCATTATGTTTAAACTATAATGCACCAATAAAAAATGTGGAAAAGAAAAAAAAAGTGATCTTACAGAAGTAGTGTATAGAATAGTGGTTACCAGAGGCTGGGGAGGATAGTAGGGAGGGGTAATAGAGACAGATTGGTAACTGGATACAAAACTAAAGCTAGATGGAAGGAATAAGTTTACTGTTCTATAGCACAGTAGGTAGATTACAGTCAACAATATTTCATTCATGTTTCATGAATGAAACATATCATCCATGTTTCAATACAGCTATAAGAAAATATTTTGAATGCTCCTAACACAAAGGATTGATAAATGTTTGAAATGATGGATGTGCTTATTACCCTGATCATTACATATTGTATACATGTATCAATACATAATTTGTACCCTAGAAATATGTACAATTATTATGTGTCAATTAAAGATATCTTCAAAAACGAAACATTAGGGCTTCAACTCCCTGAATTCAATTTATTCCAAATAATTGTCAATTGCCAAGATTTTTGCCATGTAGCCCCCATTCCTATCTATCAACACTGTCTCTTCTCTAGTGGCATCTTCCAATCTGCACAAATTCCTCATGAGTAGGGATGGTTTCTCATAAAAATATTTCATGTTTCAGGCAATGCATAGTTTAAGCAAAAGCCACTTCCGATGCTTCAAAGGCCTTGCTTGTCCTTCCAGGCCCACATGTGCCACACAAAACCTGCACCTCAGGGCTCTTTGGAGCATCTAACACAGAGGAATGGCAACAGTTCACAGTTGCTTCACAGTGATAACACCAAGCATTGAGCATACTTGAAATGCTGGTCGTTAGTCATCAACACATTTAAATGTTTCTCCTATCATTTTACAGCAGAGGAAATTGAGACATGAGGATAAATACTGAATGCAGTGTCAGACCTAGAAGCAAATCTCACAATGACAGGTGGGAAGGGAGGACATCTCCTCCTCCAACATTCCCTACACCTGAGCTGGCCCTGAAGGACAGAAGCTGAGAGAGTTTTGCCCACTGTCATTTCCTCTTTGATGAGGGTGCTTTATTTTAGGGCCTGCCTGTAACAAGAACCAAAAATGCTCTGAGATACAAACAGCCATTTAATGCAAAGCCTCCTGTTTTTTTTTTTTTTCCATTCTTTCCTATATTAGACAATATTTTGGAAAAATAACCTTCAAGCTCTTCATAAATGATACATTACTATTAAGATTTTTATTTTTTAATTATAAATCATGTTTTCAGAAGGATAAAAGAACAAGAAGCCAAAACTCAAGAAATAATTTTTCAAGTCTTTTGATATAAATTTAGTCTTGCAATCTTGCTCTCTTAAAAAAATACTTAATTATCCCTTTCTTTGAAAAATTTCCCCCAAATGCCACACACTCATTACTTACAGCTCAGACAAGTCAAGGTGACGGAAATGTTTCCTAGACAAACTCGTCAGTTTATTTCGGGTAAAATTGCTGAAAGGAATCAAAAACATTAAATGTGAGTTTAAAATGCTACATCTTAGGAACAATGTATTCAAGTAGAGATTTTGTTTTCAAAATATAATTTTATTTGATCTTAGTACATGTCTTACTTAGATCCAATCATCTCTCTCTCTCTCTTAGAGTGATAGCTCTGTTTTTACCCTGCTCCTCCTACAGTTCCTGTTTACTGGGAAGAAGAAGAGTATATATTTTCTGTTTCCAATATCTTTCTTTTTTCTTTTTTTACACAAAAGCTTATTTTTCATATTTTTATTCAGAAAATAAGTTATATACCTTGTAGAGAGCCTGACCTCTTGAGCAATTAATAGGAAGATATGTAAAATAAAATAAGATTTAAAACTACCAGCTCACTAGGGGGAAAAGATACTTTAAAACTAAAGAGTATCATGAATATTTTGAAGTTACATGACACACAAAGCTCTGAATCCGTGCTTAATGAAATTTCAGATGACTTTAGGAAAAGAACACACATTCTGATTGATAAATTCTGCTGGGACTTTTTATATATGACTGAGACAAGTGAATAAATCCATAATGAGAACAATGAAAAATCAAAAAATAAAGACTACATCAGATTTCATCTTGAACTAATCCAGCAACATAACCAACATGAGATCTGGACCAAACAGACAATGAAAGATGGTATATCTATGGTTAAAAAAAGAATAATGAATTTCTTGGCATGTTCCAAATATGTCATTTTATTCAGTGGATGGGAGTTTCCAATAATCAGTGCCATGAGACCGTGGAGTCAATTTCCCAGACATAATCCTGGCAACTGGTTCACTCTGTAAAAATCTATTTATTGCTAGAAGTTATGTAAAGTGTGTCCAATTCTTGGGCCTCGAGACATATGTTTAATAAGTGATATAAATGTAAACAAGCATCAACTTTTATTTAAAAAAAAAAAAAGCAGCCAAGACCTGGACCAACCAGAAGAAATCATAAGGCTTTTAAAGTCTTCTTCCTACTGAGGAAAGCAAGGGTTGGGCTGAGCATCAGATAAAATGTAAGATCTGAGGGTGACTGTAGTCCTGGCCCCTTACCTGAGGCCAGTCTGTTGTGTCAGCCTGATGAAATCATGGGGTGGAAGTGTCCTGGTGTGTCTGACCGGCCCTCTTTAGAGAGGGATTAAAGCCCAGGTGGTAATGCATGAGCTACAGCTAGTTGGTTAATGAATAAAGAACATGCCTCGTTAGTGGCTCATAATTCAAGACTGTGTATGTCCATTCCTTGTAGAATTCTCTTTAAGATCTCTACCCATCCAAACCCCTACCTACTCAGGACACCCTCCTTCCTTCTACACTTGCATCTTCTCTCTTCACACTGAGTGTAAAGTGCTCACCCACATGAAGTTGTAAAATGTGCCCACATAAATCTTTTCTTTTCGGAGCATGAATTAAGAATGGGTTTCACTGAAAAGTCAATCCTCCTGTCTTTCCCACAGTCTATAAGGCACAAACACTTTTATCTGAGAGGGAAAAAAAATCACCAAAACGCCCCGCTCTTTCCATCCAAAAAAAAAAAGAAAAGAGAAAAAAATTATACAGGTTCTCTCTGTCAGCTAGTAAACCTCCCGCACTGGAAGCAGATGCCTGTGTCAGGCTGCCAGCAGCACAGTGCAGAGCCGGGTTACGGGCCAAAGAACAAGATGAGTTTTATGAACCATACTTATTATTGGGGCCAAAAGCCAAAAAAGTGGAAGAAGGAAAGAAAAAAAAAATCAACAATCCTCTTACTGTTTGATTATAGAACTTTGCTAAGGAGCTAATTAGCACCTCTGCAAAGCCCCTTGGAAAATACAAATACTAGCTTTTCTCACAGTCCTTGGATTGATTCTTAGGGGCTAGGCAGGAATGAAAGGCGCCAAGAAATACGCTCAGTGACCAGTAACTGGGGCTCTGAACAGTCACCACATGATGCTAGAATGGCCAGGGAAGGGAGCAAAGTGGTGAAAGCAAAGAAGAAAATCCAACTGGAATTTTCCTAAAACCCAAAGTGAAATAGACTGGTCTTGTACACATTTTTATATTGTCAGGGAGACTCAGAGAAATAATCAGTATATTCCACAAATAGAGAAACAACTTTTAACGCACATTTCTTCATTAGCTCCTTGCACCCCACTGTGTTGACAACTGAGGTAAGAGAGTAATTTAAATCAAGGGAAGAGCTGGTTCCAGAGTCTTCAGTCATAAGCAGAGTTTGGGACTCAGGTCCAGAAAGGCAGACACCTGACCTGATTCCTCCCTCCTCAAAAGCAAACAAACGTCTATATTTAATTTCATAGTTTGGTGAATAAGATCTTCTTTCATGGTGTGAATATATGAAGCTTACTGACATCTGATCACTTCTTCATAATTGCCCAAAAACCTGCCTAATCTCACTCCATCTTGCTACTTGACCATAACTACAAATATCAGTAGAGCATTTGCACTTGGCTTCTCAACTGTCGTAAGTAAACTATATGAAACACATACATGTTTTTAGTTTTCTATTTTCAAATGATACTACTATAAGCTGTACCCAGAACATTTTTAAAATTATTCTACTATATATCAACATAAAAACAATACACAAGGTCTATTAATAAACTGCAATTAAGCAGAGCCCACTGCTCAATCACAACATTAGGTGGTGTGATAAAACAGCCAGTAAAATGTGATTGTTGAGTAATTTGGGTCTAAGGTCAGCTGTAATGAAAATACCAGAACTTAACCACTGAGGTCATTAATTACATTAAAGTGATTGCATTAGAGAATTTTGCCTTTTTCTTCTATCCAACTTCTCTCTTGTTTATGCTACCAAGGCCTACGCAGACATCAGATTTGTACAAGCAAACTGACTAGAGACGAAGCCAAAAAACATTTAAATGAAATGTGTTAATAAAGTTCCTTAGAGTTTTATTATGTTTGTGCAGAATGTTTTATATCTTAACTGCCCAGACTATTTTTTAAAGTGACTTCACCATTATTACCACCTATAAAAAAGGAAATCATGATATTGGCTTTACGAAATTAAGATTTTCCCATGATATCAACAAATCTCCATAGAGTATCCAAGCAATCTGCTCTGAGAGAATTTCTTTTATAACTGGCATGGAAATAAGTCAGGGAACTGTTCTTCCCAAGAATAGAAAGAGGACAAATGTTATGAGAAGAGCTGATTCTCTAATTACATGGATGGCACAAATTTTATTTTCTGTACTTTTTTATTATAAGAACATGGAGAAGGGTTAGCCCTCAAGTCATAATTCTGCCACCCGGGCAAGTCCTAGAACCTCCTCAGACTGATCAGGCCTGTGAAATGGAAATTTCTAAAAATCTTCCCTATGAATTCTCAAAAAAAAAAAAAATCAAGTGAGATAACATGGGTAAGAACTCTACAGACACAATGTAGACTCTGAGACATATAAAGTATCACTGTACAGGGGACTTGGTCTGCAAAACAAAACCAGTGAATGCACACAGCAATCTGCTGGTAGAAGCTCCCTCTGGAAACTCAGGAAATAGGGATACCAATCTGAACTTAGTTATGCATAGACATTCTCTACTTGAGTGACCATTTAATGAAAAAATTTCTCAGGAAGGCCACATCTTATTACCTTAAATGCTACCTAGAAGATTTTGGAGCAAACAATATTAATAACTGATTTTCCATAGTTCCATTTGACCTCAGTTGACAAGGCACCCATGATTCAGGGGAAAACATTTCCTACAGTTAATAAATGTCTGAATCTTTTGCACATCCCAGGATTGATTTTTTTTCCTCCACTTGTATCAATCCACAATAGACAGTATTGAGAAAATGAAGGTTCAAAAGAAGACCTATTATTGGAGTGGGGGAAGCATTAGTAATTTTTAGTTCCCTAAAAAAGGCCAAAGCCACGTCAGCTTCTTTCAGTTCCACCAGTTTGATGTCTTCCAGGGAGCATGTCTTGATTCCAGGGAAAATAATCAAGGACTCTGTACAAGGACATAGTTTTCACATCAGACTCCTTGCTGTTGGCCTATTGCTCTGTCCAAGATGGAAATGGCCCAGGAATTCATGAAAGGGAATAAACAGGCTGTTCTAAGTACCCCTCTGAAGCCATTCAGAAATCAAACAAACTCAAAGCTAATGTTTCTAAGCTATTATCACAGCTACACTAACTTTTGAAAAAAGGAGGTATAAGGTTGGAAAAGAAGGAAAATAAACAGAAGGGTAAAATACTGAATAAATTGGGTCCTGGGAAGCAAAAGAATATCTACTTACATGTGCTGCAGGTTGCTGTTCTTCAGAAATGCTTTATAAGCCACAAATTTTAATCCAGAATCCACAATTGTCCTATGAAAACACATAATTTCAGGAATATTAGAACTAACCAGCAAACTCCTTGCTTACCACAGTGGAGTACAAGAAAAATCTATGAGATAATGTACGCAAGTCCTGAGTACTCACAGATTTTTTAGTCCCACGTAAGCTTCAACATCATCTTCATTGATGATTTCTAACCTTTTCTGATTTGCAATAAAACTGCAACAAAGTGGAGAGGGAATACCATTGAGTCAGAATGCAGAAAATAACAAGAAAGGATATATAACTTTCATCCAACCTCACCAAGGTGCACAAGGTGATGTCTCTGTACCTACTCTAGCACTACACACACACACACACACACACACACACACACACACACACACCCAGCAAGGAGAGCAAAATGGTCAATCTTATTGAAAAGAAACTATGACTGGCCAGGTTTCATGGTCAGTGACCAGTTCAACATATTTCGATTTTTTTCCTTTTCATCACTTTCCCCTCCCTTTTCAGAGTATCACCAGTGTACAGAGGTGAAACTTTCTTGAAAAATGCATCTACCACCCCTCACATGGGTTCCACACTCATGGTGACAGCCACAGGTATGCTGGTTTCCTCACATTCAAGGGAAAATCATATTTTTCTTAACATTCTAAGAAACAGTCACTTCCTCCTTTGACCTCCTGGAACACTGGAATGCATTTCTCCTTCCCACTTCATCCCTCCCTCCCCTTCTCCCCACCTGCTTTTCCTGGCCCAGCCTCCTCTTCTTCTGCCCTTGTCAGTAACACATCAATTTTTCCTTTGCTGAACCACATGTCACAAACCCTGCATGGCCCTTAGGAACCCACATCACCTCCTCAGACTCCAAATACTCAAATATAGGGGATTAATGACTCTGGCTGATAGTGAACTCTAGACCCTTGGCCATGATGATTGGCTTAGAAGTGTTCATGAGACCTCAATTAGATCCAAGAATGACACAGATCTGGGGCTTCCAGTGTAATTTTCTGCCACAAGGAAAGAGATAGTCCAAGAACGAAGTCACCATGTATAAGAAAAGAAAGCTAATGAGATACAATGAGAGACAGAATTCTGAAAATACTACTTGAGCCTTTGGATCCAGCCATATAAAGAGAGACATCACTAACCTAAAGTCTGATCTGGATTTATGTCACTTGCAATCAATAAAGTCCCAAGTAGTAGGAACATAGCTAGAGAAACTACCATACTGAGCCAGGGGCTGTGGCACATACCTATAATCCCAGTGGCTCAGGAAGCTTAGGCAGGAGGATTGTGAGTTCAAAACCAGCCTCAGGAACTTAGGCCCCAAGCAACTCACTGAGACTCTATTTCTCAATAAAATACAAAAAGGGGACTGGGGATGTGGCTCAGTAGTTAAGTGCTTCTGGATTCAGTACCCAATACAAAAAAAAAAAAAAAGACCTCTACTATCCTGGAATTGCCATACTCTAACTTGTACTACAGTTATTCAAGTATGTGTTTCTATTTACTTTTCCTAGATCACGCTATATTTGAAGATAGAACTGTGTTTATAGTTCTTAATATGCACCACAGTACCTAACTTATACAAGGATGGATGGATGGGTGGGTGGATGAGAGGAAGGAAGATAGAAGGTTGGACAGATGGATGGGTAGGTGGGTCAATGGACAGAAGACTGGATGAATGGATATACAGGTAGGCAGACATATAATCCTTGGAGTTACAAAGTACTGCAAGAATTATTTGAAAATATTTAAGATACATAACATATTAAGACACTGAAAACAAATATATATCCCTGATGTTAATTAGGTAAAACGAAAAAACATTAAACAATGATAGAGAATACACATCTATAGGTTCCTTCTACCCAGTGAGGGAAAGAAACGGATGAAGGTATACTGCAAGCGTTTCGGCAAATATAAAAAAAAATAAAAACAGATAAATTTTCTGAGGGTATAAATTTCACCAAAGAGAAATAACTTTAAAATGATCCACACAAACATTGTCTCATCACATAAAAAAGCAGCCTCCAAGATAGAAAGGCATCTTCCTTTCAAAGATCATGGTTCTCCTCGACACTCAGGGCCTGTCATGCCATAAATGTGCAAGAAGGAAGCCAGTAACATAAATAACAGGCAATTCCCTTCTCTCCTTCCACCAGATTCAGAAGAAGAAAATATTTTGAGATTTCAGTTAAATGCTCACTTTACAACATCAAGTATTTATGAAGTGTTTCAAAAGCATCACAGTTTAGAGACATTTTTCCAAGACTTTCATTGCACTAATATTTTCAATAGAGACCACAGTGACCTCACTCTTCTAAATTATCTCATAATAAGCACTGCATTACAAAAAGTCATAAATAATTTTAACACTTTTTTCATGTCACTGGCAGCAGAAAAGATAGAAAATGTAGGCAAGGTTTCCTTTAGGGTTACCAGCAGGACTTCCAGATAAACCTATCCTCTCCTTGCAGCAGAGTTGGCTTGGTGCCTGTCATTGCTCTGAAGTCACATGGAGAGTTCTGCATCTGTCTTTACCAGGATCATCACTGTATCCCCCATGATTTTGACAAGCACCTGACACTCAATAGGTACTTAACCAAAGCCTATGAAACAAAGCACTTGTCTTTTTCTTTTCATTATTTATTCCCTTTACTTTATTTTTTATTTTATTCAACCATGTATTTAACTTGTAAACTTCCTAGTCATATTCAATAAAGTGCAATGAGCTAACAGATATAAGAGAAAGAAAACCAGGAGCAGAGACATCAATGGGGCCAGGAATTAGGTTTAAAAATACATATACTCATTAGGAAAGGGCCAGATTTTTAATTCTAAGCTTTCTGGTCACCAAAATGCAAGAAAAGAGGAGCAAAAATTTTGTATAATTTCATAATATTCATGAAGAGGAAAATTAAGCAAAGCACAACTGTTCTTGGATTTAAGACCAGACAGGAGATTTTGTTGAAAGCCATCAAAAGAACCGTGTGAAATTATGAAAAATGGTCTTCTACTGGGGAAGAAGGAATGCCCTGGGTAAATTTTTTTTCCTGGCAATATGGAAACCAAGAGAAGAGCTGGATGTAAAGATTGGCAAGTGCTCCTTCAGCAGTAAATTCCAAGGATGCCCCCTGTAAGTTACCATCTGTGGAGATGTCCAGTCTAGCTGCTAGCTATAAATCGCTCATGAAACCTGCCACTAAAAGCCATCACTAACTAAGGAATTTTAAGGTTAGAAAGGAAGCCAGCGAAGTTAATTACAGGCCATCCACAGAGGGGAAAACCTCAATGGCCGAGAAAATGTGAAAAACTGCTCATCTCAAAAGGAATATGAAATGCAAATGAAAATAATGACATTCCATTCCTCTCCCGCTGCAGTGACAAAATGTTTACCATCTGACAATATAAACTTATAAAGCCGGGTGTCTCTTACATTATTGGAGGCAGTGTAAATGGGTTTAACCACTTTGAAGAGCACTTATCACTATCCTGGAAAATTATAAAGCAGAACCCTCTGTGGCCCAGCATTTCCATGTCTAATTATTCCCAGAAAGAAATTCTCACACATGAACACAAGAGGACAGATGGAAGAATATTCACTGTAAGACAGTCAACAGGCTAATCAAAAGCCAGAAACAACCCCAGTATCCATCTACCAAGAAACGAAATTTTAAAAAATAAGGTATGGTAAAAATATATATTAAACTCAAACCAAATCTATGTTTTTAGCAGAAAGAGATCTCCATGTTAAGTGGGAAAGAAAATAAGCAAAATTGCATACAAATATACACATACAACATGAAACAAATTATTTGAAAGTATAAAAATACACAAAAGCAATACCACGTAATCAAGTACATGTAAAGGATAAAAGTGATTGCAGGAGAGATTAGCTGGGGAAAAGAGAATAGTTATAAAATAAAGACACTTATAACTTTAAGCAACTTATTTTATTAAATTTTTGACCTATTTATTTTATCAGAAAAGATTTGCAAGAGGAAAAACAAAATGTTAAGGCTTCACTCTGAATATAAGTACATGAAGTCGTACCATGCTTTTTGGAATATTTTTTTAATTTATGAAGAAAAGGGGAAGGAAAGAAGAAGAGGGAAGGATGGAGGGAGAAAAGATGAGTGAGATAGAAAGAAAAGGAGGGGAGTAGCAAAAGAAAGAGAAATGGAGACAGCCATACAAGCGAAATAATGCAGGAAAGCTGGACCCAGCGGACCAACACACCTGCTTTCAGTTCCTGGTACTGTAGACCATTCACAAGACTAACAGGACAGCCTCCTGCTTCCTGCCCCAGAGCCTCTGGACAGAAACAGAAGAGGAAGGTACATACTGCACTGCCCCCTCCTGGTGACTTCCACCTGCCTCCAGGGGATCCTGGTAACACCAGGCCTTTCTGACTCTTTCATCTCAGCCAAAGGTCCATCAGCAGATTTCCCCCAGAAAAACCATTCCCCATCACTCCTGTCACCATGCTGTGGAACTCTGAGAGCTCAGCTTAATAAAACATATCTCCAAAAAGGATTTAATTTCCCAAGAAAGCTGAAGGAAAGACTGGCATTTTGGCCTGGGTCCATCTCAGGAGCTTTCTTTCCATGACGACCTCTGGCTCCTCTGACCTTTGCCCAGGGTTCTAGAACACTTAGGCCCCTGAGGTTTTCATTCACAGACTCTCTGACCTAGGCTTACCCCAGAGGAATTCCACAGGAAGTCACCATCCTCTAACCTGTAGAGGTTGACTTCATTCTTTTTAAGGCGAGTTAACAGCGTTTAAATCATGACAAAAAGACTTGGTGGTTTGGGATTTTTGAAATTTAATACCCCTTAAGAATATCTCTCACATACCTCTTTGAACCCCCCAGGACCTCTGACCCTTCTCCTACCCACTGGAAATCTGTTAGGAATTACTGTTGGCCGCCAGCATCCTATGTTGTCCAAACATACCTTCCTCCTTCCTCAAGTCCATATATTGGATGTCGGCAAGGACTTCATATCATGAAAGTTACTTTTACAGCCTTTTCCCCCGTGTATTTACTACACCTCCAAACTATTATCTACTGCCCTAAAAGTTGGATCTCATATGTTAGGGATACCTCAATGTGCTCACCCAAATCTATCCTGACACTCCACCCAAATCTAACCTGAAATATCACTTAAGTGACTGGTAGGTGACACCAAAAGCTTTTTCCAATCAAAACATG